CTAACACGCAGCTATCAGCTAATAAATCCGAAGATGACATTGACGCGATGCATGTCACAGTGGTACTTGCTATCGGCATCAAAACCTGACGGTCTGTTCATCTTTTTTAGTCGCCCGTTGAGTACCTAACAATGGCTACGTCCGCTAAGGCTATTGCCGTCGCGGCAGCCTTTCCGTTTCAACTCTTGAGATCACGCCTTCAGGAACAGCATCGGAGTTACGCCGGTATCGTGGATGTCATAACTTCTATATGGAGGTAAAATTTGTTCTTGTTGAATTATTGACTGAATTTATGATACTCGATTGTACCGTGTAGTGATATTTACTGATAATTTCAACTCAAAATCGCGCATGTTAAGAAACGAAGTTTTTGAACTCTATCAGATGACCTCGCTAATTTGTGTCATATGAACCAAGGAAGTTGAGTTCATTGGATGGTGCGAGGATCAGGTCAGCAGGTGTGAAATGTACAAACCGGGATTAGAACAGACAGTTTGCTGAGAGCCAAACACATTAGCTTGGCTCATCACAGCTAGGGAGAATGTCGGGCTCTGACCCATTTTTCGCCCAGTGGAACCGCAGAGTGCTGAGACATTCAGACACAAAATCTACCATTTAAAAAATCACTAACGATTAACTCTTTAGACGGTATTGGTCCAGTTTGGTTTACAAATCTCCCGCAGAAGGGTTTAACCTACTAGGTAATTGTATGTTTACGAGTGTAGAGCAACGAACACAGGAGCTAGGTAAGTACTGTCCGTGTTAATTATGCCATTCGGTTGCGTTGGTTGTCTGCATTATGTATTACTTAATTATTGAGCTGTATCGCGCTTCGTAGATCAGAGTTCCTGGAGTCGCACTGACAGGTCTTTGCTAACTTATATTTTAGACTTTATGTTGAATGGCAGTATCAATCGTCATGGTTCTGCCTCAGGCTCTCAACTCCTGGCGAGGAGAACGGAGCTAATCTCGTCAAAAGCTAGATCGTAGATAACACCTGCCTCACTACCTTGGATGAATAGCATTGATCCATGAGCATTTATTCTCAAACCTCAATATCTTCCGCAATATTTTGGCAAGGTAAATATGGTTAACCTTAGCCTGCAAGCCAAAATTAAGTTGGGCCATTTGTAGTTTATCCCAAGTCACCCATTAGGAAGCACAAGGTTTTCCGGTGCATGTAAATTAACCTGCTGAATGGTCTAAGAAGACGCCCATCTTTGAATCTAGAAGTTGCAGAGCACCTCTCGCATAAGACGGTTCCACATGGGTATTGGGCGAAGGGCTGCGATTCATGGGTCTCGGTGAACTTATTGCGTGCCAATGGCGTTCAAAAGAGCAAATTTATGCACCGAAAACAAGCTAAATAAAGTCGTCCAACCACATTACTATGCTCGTGGAATATTTATCTTCGTCCTGCACAC